CATATATACATTGTATATGTATACCCTATCATATATACATTGTATATGTCTACCCTATCATATATAAATTGTATATGTATACCATATCATATATAAATTGTATATGTATACCATATCATATATACATTGCATATGTCGACCCTATCATATATTCAATGTTTATGTCGACCCTATCATATATTCAATGTTTATATCTACCCTATCATATTTACATTGTATATGTCTCCCCCCTAATATATACATTGTATCTGTATACCCTATCATATATTCAATGTTTATATCTACCCTATCATATTTACAATGCATATGTATACCCTATCATACCAACAATGTATATGTATACTCTATCATATATACAATCTATATGTATACCCTATCATGTATACAATGTATATGTGTAGCCTATCATATATACAATGTTTATGTCTACCCTATCGTATATACAATGTTTATGTCTACCCTTTCATATATTCAATGTTTATGTCGACCCTATCATATATTCAATGTTTATGTCTACCCTATCATATATTCAATGTTTATGTCTACCCTATCATATATTCAATGTATATGTCTACCCTATCATATATACAATGTATATGTATACCCTATCATATATACAATGTATATGTATATTCTATCATACATACAATGTACATGTTTAAGCTATCATAAATGTATATACATTGTATATGTATACTCTATCATATATACATTGTATGTGTATATTCTATCATACATACAATGTATATGTATAAGCTATCATAAATATATATACATTTGTACAATGTATATGTATACCCTATCATATATACAATGTATATGTATACCCTATCATATATACATTGTATGTATATATTCTATCATACATACAATGTATATGTATAAGCTATCATAAATGTATATACAATGTATATGTATACCCTATCATATATACAATGTATATGTATACCCTATCATATATACATTGTATATGTCTACCCTATCATATTTACAATGTAAATGTCAACCCTATCATATATACAATGTATATGTATACCCTATCATATATACAATGTATATGTATACCCTATCATATATACAATGTATATGTATACCCTATCATATATACAATGTATATGTATACCCTATCATATATACAATGTATATGTATACCCTATCATATATACAATGTATATGTATACCCTATCATATATACATTGTATATGTCTACCCTATCATATTTACAATGTAAATGTCAACCCTATCATATATACAATGTATATGTATACCCTATCATATAAACAATGTATATGTATACCCTATCATATATACAATGTATATGTATACCCTATCATATATACATTGTATGTGTATATTCTATCATGCTTACAATGTATATGAATAAGCTATCATAAATGTATATACATTGTATATGTATACTTTAACAAACATACATGTACATTGTATATGTATACTCTATCATACATACAAAGTATATGTATACTCTACCATACTTACAATGTACATGATACACTTGTTATCATAGTTAAAAAGTGACTGTCGACATCAATTTAAGTACTGAACAAGTTTTTGGTGATGTGAAGTATTTAAGCAAAATGAGTTAGAGGTAAGAAATGTGTAGTGTTTGGGCAGTTTCAGGTTTTGATGTGTCGTATTGAAGCAGCTAATGGTTTTGATGTGTATAGTATTTAAGCAGTTAATGGTTTTAGTTTGCGGTATTAAAGCAGTGAAATGTTTTGATGTGTCGTATTTAAGCAGTTAATGGTTTTAGTTTGCGGTATCTAAGCAGTTAATGGTTTGCATTTGTGGTATTAAAGCAGTGAATGGTTTTGATGTGTGATATTTAAGCATTAAATGGTTTTGAAGTGTCGTATTTAAGCAATTAATTATGTTGATACGTAGTACATGTATTTAAGCATTTAACGGTTTTGATGTGTAATGTATAAGCGGTTTTTAAGCGGTTTATGGTTTTGATTTGTGGTACTTAACCAGTTTATGGTTTTGATTTGTGGTACTTAACCAGTTAATGGTTTTGATTTGATTATACGGTTTTACGCGTGGTATTTAAGCAGTTAGACGGTGTTATGCGTGGTATTTAAGCAGTTAGACGGTGTTACGCGTGGTATTTAAGAAGTTTGACGGCGTTATGCGTGGTATTTAAGCAGTTAGACGGTGTTACGCGTGGTATGTAAGCAGTTAGACGGTGTTATGCGTGGTATTTAAGCAGTTAGACGGTGTTATGCGTGGTATTTAAGAAGTTTGACGGCGTTATGCGTGGTATTTAAGCAGTTAGACGGTGTTATGCGTGGTATTTAAGAAGTTTGACGGTGTTATGCGTGGTATTTAAGGTTTGTAAATTGAGTTAAATGTATTTGGAGAACCATATGAAATTTACACCGCGGATAGAAAATAATACATGTACCAGCTTTACGCTTGCTAAGGATTTTCCGGGGAAAATTATTTGCTATGCATGTGTTGAAATGAGATACGATAGCATTCAAGTGTGGACAATCGTGTTATGATGTCTCAAATGGAAACAGAAAGATGCTGACGTTAGCAGAACGAACCAAAGCAGAAAATAAAACAAATCTTATGCTCGTTCCTTTTTTCTTTCCCTGATTTCCCGGACGTATTGCTCCCTTTAGAATTAAGGAAATAATACTGTCTAGACGAAGTTTTATGGATGGTAAACTAAAAGTTTAGGTAAAATATGATACAGTCCAGAGGATTATTACCAGGAATTATTTGATACTTACATAATGTAAAAAGAAATATTGCCGTGTAGAAATTGTCTTGAAGACGAACATGGATTTACTAGATGGTCTATGCATCATATCAGGTAGCTATGACCTACATACATATACATGTAGAATTGTCTATTTTGAGCATTGCGCTGTCTGTATGGCGATGATGAAAAACAGTATTTTGCATTACACATCTGAATCGAGCCACCATGAGATCAAGTAAAATGCTTGTTTTTAGTATAAAGCCGTTTTTCAATATCAAGCGATCGTGTAAAACAGTGTTTGTTTAATCAACTGATAATTTACAAAAAACCTTCTTTATCAAACGATAATGTGAAATGGTCTTTTTTTGCTATGTTAAGCGATCATGTAAAATAGTCTCTTCTATAACAAGCGATCGAGTAAAATAGTCTTTGCTTCATCAAGCAATAATGTAAAATAGCCTTTTCTGTAATAAGAAATAAAAATCGTTTTAACGACGTTGTAACAATGTGTTTGATTTATCAAGTCATAATGTAAAATATAATCATTTTAATGACAAATCAAAAACTGAACACATGACGCAAAGTAACTTTTCGAGGACGGCCAACAGCAATATCCAGAAGACGGTGATACGCTCACAAAAACAGGATTACGTGTATACAGTTAAATGCGCTAGTATATAGTTCAGTGTTTTCTTGATGAAGAAGATAACGAAAATCAATATTGCTTAGAGGAAAAGGATAATGAAAAACAATATGTAGAGACTTAGCATGAATATACTACTATCTGAATGAAAACGTTTTAGTGAATGTGTTTGTCTAGATGAAGACGATACTGAAAATGGTTCTGCCTTGAAAAGTAGGATAATAGAAAGCAGAGAGTCGCGATGAGGGTTTGCAGTAAAAAGCAGTATGTCAGGATGAAGAGTTGTCGTGAAAAGCAATGTCGAGATAGAGGGTTATCCTGAATAGCAATGTCGAGATGGAGGGTTATCCTGATAAGAGGTTTGTCCAGATGAAGACTTGTGGGAAACAAAATATGTAAAATTTCGTCGTGAAATCTATACCTTTCTCATAAAGAAGCGAGGCAGCATGTTAATCATACGGTCCATATCGGAGATGAAATGACAACGTGTACATACACATACATGTTATGTCAATAACGTTTTAACCAAGACAGACAGTCTGTCGTATACAGAAGATCTAGTAAATTGCATTAAACAAAAATCTATACAGAGTTGAATAGAATGTCCTTGGTCTGAAAAAATGATCTAACCAAAATTGACATGTGTAAAATTTAAAGGCAAGAAAGCTATAAGGAAAAGTGTAAGCTTGTAGCGCGACTAAAACCTGCTGTAATCGGATGTCGTCTGAATATCGTGCGAAAAATGGAATCACGCGGATTATAGTTGATTAGTGATTATGTCGCTGTCTCATGGAATATAATATAAATCAATGTATGTATACAATGTTGGCGCGATCATCAGTGCGAAAATAAGGAAATATCCCTGGGAAATATATATAATTGATTTTTAATAAGACCTAATAATGGAAACTAATTATTTAATAACCACACACTATTTCTGATACCGAGTTGGGATATCATTTTTCCATTATTATTCTCCTACAAAATACAGAAAAAACTATGATCCCGCTTTAGTTTGTATGCATCCCGTGTACGTGTAATTAATTCTCGGGTTTTATTCACTAGAGAGGAGAAACCTGTTCCCTTTCTGTCCGTGCGTACATGTATACCTGGACATTATCCAGACATTACCAGGTACTGATAAACCTAATAAAAATGTGTAAAGTGCCTGTACGACCAACAATACAGTTCTGGTGTTATCAGAACGTGTCAAAAAGGGTTGGGGCAATATTTGTGTGTATGTAAAAATTCTCATACATCTGATAAAATACCGACACAATAACTCGGTTGATCATCCACAAACTAGTACGGTTATAAATATCTTTAACATTTTAATCGGTAGAACATTCTTATTCATTTATTTATTTAGGATTAACGATGGCATCGTAACGATGTCAAATGCTAGCAGGGCGTCAAACAATTACCTTAACAATTTATTTTTTTGTAAATCAAACGATGAAACCATGTAAAAAAAAAAGAAGCTATTTTCCAGCAACAGAATTAAAAGGGGGATTGTTAATTAATGGACAGACATTGTATAATGGCATGTTGGTGCGTGTGGCCGTGCTGACGGAGGAGGGCCCGGGGCTGTCGTGACCTGATCGTGTAATCTCATTATTATCTACTTACCACACATCAGCAGTAACTGAACGTATAGTCCCTCTACCACTGTCATCAGGTATATTCCTTTGACGTCACTCCGAGGATCTTTAAGTTTACTTTTCCTCAGCATAATCAAGTATGTATCGCTCACAAATGAACCGAATTGGTCTCCGAGCTCACAAATATCCAAGTACAACTTTTGAGAAGAAATATAAAAATGTAACAAAGATGAAATAATTTCCACTGTAACAATTATCCAACAGAATCACTAGCGTAACCAGCTATGTCCACTGGAACAATTACGTCCAAGAGCGTGAAGGGTCATCCCGAGATGTCACCTGCTTTACTTGACCATTGCCACTGTGGGATGTCACCATTTAATACTTGCGTCCCGCAGTTTTCCGGTCCGGGTAGAAAGCGAGTGGTATCATTAGCGCTGTTGTGATAGTTGTGCTGGCTGGCTGGCTGAGGCTGAGGCGGGTTGCTGCTGCTGCTGGTACTGCTGTCGCTGCGTTACCGCTACTACTACTCCACCTTCATTTGTTCTGCAAATAAATCAACAAATAGCCACGTTAGTTAGACGGCGTGCGTTGTGTGTGAGGAGATGTCCGGTACTGTGTCCCATCCAGGCCATACCCGTACCTTCATATACATACCGCGTGCTAGAACCCCTTTATCATACATATTGACCGTTACACTCGGACATATATACAAATGTGCGTAGTTCCAGAACCACTTGACCATTGGTCACTGCTCTGCAGGTCCCACCCCATTGTTTGGACATCGACCGTCTTACCCTAACAGACAACTATACCCGGGAGAACGAACGGCTCGCTAAACCTTTTAAACTAGTGGTGGAAAATCCTAGTGTGTTTGCTTCGTCCAACTGTTTCTTGCATGTTCTAATAACAGGCTCATTGGATTCATTGACATTTGGACTACTATGTGGGGTAAGATCGCTGCTGACGCCCTTGAAGTGTATCACTGGTGCTGAGGGTATTGACGGATTGGTCCCCGTCGAAGATTCGGTGTGGCACCATTAACCCAGAGGGGCGGCAGATATTGATGTAACACAGGGAGGTACTTGTAATGATGCTGTATACAAAGCCATGTAGAATATGCAAGTGGCCCTTTTATTTATGTTACATCTTATCCTCGTCATAAAAAAGGTTTCTAACGGTAATGTAGCCTGTGTACGTCTGATGTACAATACAGTGGCCTGTACAACCATCTAGAAATAGATGGAGCGGACCTCCGAAAGGCGAACAGATACACCAGTATCAGTGATACAACTATAGAAAAAACAATACAAAACAATTCAAACAGACGGATGATTGAAGAACTTCAATATGTGTTTTGCTTAATACATGAAGACAGACTCGCGGTCGATACGGAATTGGGATGTTGTCTAAAACTAATTGTTTAAGTCTGGTCCCGGGTGCGTCTCGGCCGAGTGTTATATATATACACTGATGAGCCGTCAGAACAAATGTACGTTCACAGGTCGATACCCCGAGATGGAGACTACACAATCAAGTCACATTTAGTCCCAACATCAGTGTGTCCAAGGATGACGTCAAACTGCGCGTGCTGCTAATGCTGAGACAGCCTTTTATGGAAAATGGTCAATGTTTCAATATAAAGCATTTTTTGCACAAATGAATCAACAGTAAATCTCCATTTTTTTTTTTGTAACAAATATTTTGTAATTAAATGGAGTAATGTTGAAAGTGAACAGAAGTTTCGCCACGAGGGACGTTTTTATTCTGTGAAATAAATTCCAATGCAGTAAAGCTCTTGCTTAATATTTCATATACATCATATCCAGTTAAGATCTTGTATATTATATAGTATGCAGTAAAATCTCTGCATACTGTTTCCTATACAGTACAATTCCTGCATACTATTTCCTATACCGTAACATTCCTGCATACTATTTCCTATACAGTACAATTCCTGCATACTATTTCCTATACAGTAAAATCTCTGCATACTATTTCCTATACAGTAACATTCCTTCATACTATTTCCTATACAGTAACATTCCTGCATACTATTTCCTATACAATAACATTCCTGCATACCATTTCCTATACAGTAAAATTCCAGAATACTGTTTCCTGTACAGTAATATTCCTGCATACTATTTCCTATACAGTAACATTCCTGCATACTATTTCCTATACAATAACATTCCTGCATACCATTTCCTATACAGTAAAATTCCTGAATACTGTTTCCTATACAGTAACATTCCTGCATACTATTTCCTATTCAGTAAAATTCCTGAATACTATTTCCATTACAGTAGAATTCCTGCATACTATTTCCTATACAGTAACATTCCTGCATACTATTTTCTATACAGTAAAATTCTTTCATACTATTTCCTTTACAGTAACATTCCTGAATACTATTTTTTATACAGTAAAATTCCTGCATACTGTTTCCTTTACAGTAACATTCCTGCATACTATTTCCTATACAGTAAAATTCCTTCATACTATTTCCTATACAGTAAAATTCCTTCATACTATTTCCTATACCGTAAAATTCCTTCATACTATTTCCTATACAGTAAAATTCCTTCATACTATTTCCTATACAGTAACATTCATACATACTATTTCCTATACAGTAACATTCCTGCATACTATTTCCTATACAGTAAAATTCCTACATACTATTTCTTATACAGTAAAATTCCTTCATACATGTACTATTTCCTATACAGCAAAAATTCCTTCATACTATTTCCTATACAGTAACATTCATGCATACTATTTCCTATACAATAACATTCATACATTCTATTTCCTATACACTAACATTGCTTCATACTATTTCCTATACAGTAACATTCCTGCATACTATTTCCTATACAATAACATTCATACATACTATTTCCTATACACTAACATTCCTTCATACTATTTCCTATACAGTAACATTCAGACATACTATTTCCTATACAGTAAAATTCATACATACTATTTCCTATACAGTAACATTCATACATACTATTTCCTATACAGTAACATTCATACATAATATTTCCTATACAGTAAAATTCCTTCATACTATTTCCTATACAGTAAAATTCCTCCTTACTATTTCCTTTACAGTAACATTCCTACATACTATTTCTTATACAGTAAAATTCCTTCATATTATTTCCTATACAGTAACATTCATAAATACTATTTCCTATACAGTAAAATTCCTTCATACATGTACTATTTCCTATACAGTAAAATTCCTTCATACTATTTCCAATACAGTAAAATTCCTCCATACATGTACTATTTCCTATACAGTAAAATTCCTTCATATTATTTCCTATACAGTAACATTCATACATTCTATTTCCTATACAGTAACATTCTTTCATACTATTTCCTATACAGTAACATTCATACATACTATTATCTATACAGTAAAATTCATACATACTATTTCCTATACAGTAACATTCCTGCATACTATTTCCTATACGGTAACATTCATACATACTATTTCCTATACAGTAACATTCCTTCATACTATTTCCTATACAGTAACATTCATACATACTATTTCCTATACAGTAAAATTCATACATACTATTTCCTATACAGTAACATTCCTGAATACCATTTCCTATACAGTAACATTCATACATACTATTTCCTATACAGTAAAAGTTTTGTGTTGACATTTCGTATATCGTTTTACAGCAAAGCTTCTACATACCTTTGGTAGGAGGCTCTATTCGTGGTTAATCAAAATATACATTTCAACAAGTTATGTGTATCTGAATTTTAGTTTTGTTTGTTCAGATTTTCTGTAATAAATCGCCAACAGCATAAACAAGAATTCACAATATACATGTACATCTTTCAGGTATTCATGATTTGTTTTGTTTTGAAAAAAAGGAAATCCAGAACACTAGTTAAGATAATGTGCCCGGAATAAGTCAATACTTTCTGTACTTATCGTTCCTTTCATCTAAAAACTGATTATCAACTAGTTTGACATCCTCATCGTAGAAAAGACGTCAACACATCTCGGCTAGGAGGACATACTCTACGTTATAAGGGTGAAACCAGTCAACAAATCTCGGTAAGGAGGACATACTCTACGTTACAAGTGTAAAACTAGTCAACACATCTCGGCTAGGAGGACATACTCTACGTTACAAGGGTGAAACCAGTCAACAAATCTCGGTAAGGAGGACACACTCTCCGTTATAAGGGTGAAACCAGTCAACAAATCTCGGTAAGGAGGACACACTCTACAATACTTTCTGTACTTATCGTTCCTTTCATCTAAAAACTGATTATCAACTAGTTTGACATCCTCATCGTAGAAAAGACGTCAACACGTCTCGGCTAGGAGGACATACTCTACGTCATAAGGGTGAAACCAGTCAACACACCTCGGTAAGGAGGACACACTCTACAATACTTTCTGTACTTATCGTTCCTTTCATCAAAAAACTGATTATCAACTAGTTTGACATCCTCATGGTAGAAAAGACTTGACAGCTAGGAGGACATACTCTACGTTACAAAGGTAAAACCAGTCAACACATCTCGTTAAGGAGGACACACTCTTCGTTATCAGGGTAAAACCAGTCAACAGATCTCGGTAAGGAGGACACAGTCTACGTTATAAGGGTAACCCGGAATAAGTCAATACTTTCTGTACTTATCGTTCCTTTCATCAAAAAACTGATTATCAACTAGTTTGACATCCTCATCGTAGAAAAGACTTGACAGCTAGGAGGACATACTCTACGTTACAATAGTGAAACAAGTCAACAAATCTCGGCAAGGACGACACGCTCTACGTGATAAGGGTGAAACCAGTCAACACACCTCGGTAAGGAGGACACACTCTACAATACTTTCTGTACTTATCGTTCCTTTCATCTAAAAACTGATTATCAACTAGTTTGACATCCTCATCGTAGAAAAGACGTCAACACATCACGGCTAGGAGGACATACTCTACGTCATAAGGGTGAAACCAGTCAACACATTTCGGCTAGGAGGACATACTATACATTATAAGGGTAAAACCAGTCAACAGATCTCGGTAAGGAGGACACAGTCTACGTTATAAGGGTAACCCGGAATAAGTCAATACTTTCTGTACTTATCGTTCCTTTCATCAAAAAACTGATTATCAACTAGTTTGACATCCTAATCGTAGAAAAGACGTCAACACATCACGGCTAGGAGGACATACTCTACGTTACAATAGTGAAACCAGTCAACAAATCTCGGTAAGGAGGACACACTCTACGTGATAAGGGTGAAACCAGTCAACACATTTCGGCTAGGAGGACATACTATACATTATAAGGGTAAAACCAGTCAACAGATCTCGGTAAGGAGGACACAGTCTACGTTATAAGGGTAACCCGGAATAAGTCAATACTTTCTGTACTTATCGTTCCTTTCATCAAAAAACTGATTATCAACTAGTTTGACATCCTCATCGTAGAAAAGACGTCAACACATCTCGGCTAGGAGGACATACTAAACATTATCAGGGTGAAACCAGTCAACACATCTCGGTGAGGAGGACACACTCTACGTTATAAGGGAGAAACCAGTCAACAAATCTCGGTAAGGAGGACATACTCTACGTTACAATAGTGAAACAAGTCAACAAATCTCGGCAAGGACGACACGCTCTACGTGATAAGGGTGAAACCAGTCAACACATTTCGGCTAGGAGGACATACTATACGTTATCAGGGTGAAACCAGTCAACAAATCTCGGTAAGGAGGACATACTCTACGTTACAATAGTGAAACCAGTCAACAAATCTCGGCAAGGACGACACACTCTACGTGATAAGGGTGAAACCAGTCAACACATCTCGGTAAGGAGGACATACTCTACGTTATAAGGGTGAAACCAGTCAACACATCTCGGTAGCGAGGACATACTCTACGTTATAAGGGTAAAACCAGTCAACACATCTCGGTA